TCGGAATAATCGATGTGAAGTGATCGATGCGACCAAACACCGGTTCTCGAGAGCAAGCCTTGCACCTTTTGAGCGATTGATTTTCATCATTGGCTTTCTTGCTGCCGATTGTACACGCGTTTGTCTTTGTCTATTCTTCATTCTTATATATCATCATGTAAGTACATCCATTTAAAATAATTTTGTTTGAATGGCCCCGTGTTCGTATCTCAATATCATATTCATATATAAATAGTACGTGAATTTATATCTCAATCTCAGTCGACATCGCCAGACTTCCCCGCCGTGGGGTGGCGGTGGGGGCCACGTCGCTACCTCGTGTCCCGCGGCGACGATAAGAGAACTGAGAGCCTTGCCTATGCCGTGGAAGACCCCGGAGACCCCCGCGATCCCCCTTGCGACAAATATCGCAGACGCTGACGCCCAGTCATGCTTCCAACCCCTTTCGGCGACGCCGCCGGAATTTGCGTCGCCCCTCGCAGCGACGCCGGCGGAGGTTCAGCCTTTTCTCATAAACATATCCATACGAAAGCAATTTTATCTGAACGGCCGTGTGTACATCAAGTTCGAACTTGGAGAATTCTCCGGATAGTCACGTCAGTGCGCTTACTAGAACGATTTGCAGTGCGCTCCAAACAAGACAGAACATGCGCGGTCGCTACTGAAAATATCGCAACGCAGAACTGGGCGACAAATAATCTCATCATTTGCCTATGTTTGGAATTGCCTCTACCTATAAAATCTTGTAGCGACGTTGACGAGCGGTGCGGCAGCGAATTTCTTGATGCGTTTTTTTTTCACTAGCAGAAAAAGAACCAAATAACAATTTTTGGGAACACGTATTAAATGCATTTCACCAGCGCTCTGCACGCTAAAAACAAGAAAATGACCCCAGCCAGTAAATTCTGTGCACTTTACAACACGCGTTATTTCGCTCTTCTTCTTAGTACCGTCAACGTGGCTGCAAGGCTCGCGCATCATTCCCCAAGTGCCATTGATGGCAACGGGGCATCATTCCAGCACCCGTCAGTCGCCAAGCACATCAAAGTCGCGGCCATTGTTGCTCGTAACGTACTGTGTGGCGATCCTGTTAGGCAACAGGGAGACAAGTTTATGCATTGGCGTGGACAATGGGGCACCAGAATCGATGCACTGTGGTGTGGTGCTGCAACTTGATGCGACTTTTCATGTTCCGAGCGACGGGAATGCGCGCACTTGTGCCCTACCACGCGGCAGTACTACAAATTGTCTATTAATGGTTGTTAATTGTCTGTTCATAACTGCCAATTTTCCATTAATGGTTCTTAATAGCACATGCCGGAACCCGCTTGTTTGCAAGGACTTGGGCCCGCATTTGTCGTGTCTGTACGCAAACAGAAGTTATGCTCTCTCTCGGTCCTGTTTGCCCCCAGCCTCTGCTGTCTGTACTGTGCTGCACTGTACTGCCATCTGCATTGTGCTGAAATACTATCACGCATTATGCCGAAGTCCAGCTCGACGGGTATCGTGCCGCATATGCCGGTAGACTCCCCGTCCTGGCGCATTTTTAGGTTCCTCCTATGCAGGCTTATTACTCACATGTACGTTGTTACGCGTAAAAACGTAAATTTGCAAAGGGGGGTACTTTTGCGGCTGTGTTTACGTTTTCGTGGCTTGTTGCGACACCCAGGTAGCACTGTGAAAGTCGCGTACAATGATCAGTCTTCCGCTCCCTTGAGCGACCGCAACACACCGGCCAGCTCGCCCTCGGCAATGGCAACGATGGCGTCGAGCAAAAGTTCGTTTTCTGCCCATTCCAATGCGTCTCGCTGCCACTCTCCAACTCCCTGAGCCTTTGTGTACTGTGTTTAAGTACACGAGACTGTATTTACGTTCTAAATACTAATGTCTACGTATTTTTACGTACTTTATGCTTAAAAACGCAAAAGTCATTTTTACGCATAAAAGCGCGAATACGTTCATTTTTTTGTACGGCGTAAGTAACAAACCTGCTCGTGCAGCGTAGTACTGCGTAGTCCTTCGTACTTCCTAGCAGTACTTTGTCACCAGCAATGAACGCAACGTTTGCGATGCCAACTGGACGCGGTCTTGGCCCTGAGTGGGCCTGTCATAGGGGTTGCGCTGCCATCAAAGTGGCTGTGACGGCACCAGTTGCTGGCAAATGGCATCGCTGTGGGCGTCGCGAAGATGGCGCCTTCTGCTGGTGTGCAGTACATCACAGTAGCTCGTGGTACGAGGGCCAACGCCAGCCTCAACACTTTGCGGATGGCCGTCGGCCCCTTTTGGAGCTGGCCAGCCCTGGTGGCCGTTGGATGGTGTCGCCACACGGAGGACACCGCGGGTGAGGCGGCCAAAGTGCCTGAAGATATTTTCGGGGAGACCCGGTACAGAGCGCACAACAAAGTACGGTAAGTGATACAACAAGTGCAGTAACAAAGTACTGATGTTCCACGTTTTGCAACAACGTCGTTCCCGCTGAAAGCGCCACCCCTCAAAGGGGCGTGCGCCAACGGCGCTCCTCAGTCAGTATGTTCCCACGTGCGCGTTGATGCGCCCTCAGCGCCCCTTGCATCGCATCGCGCCTGCGTAAGTACGTACCGAGACGCGCGTTGATGTGCGGTTAACGCTCCTTGCGTCACGCCCCTGCGTGACCTTTCCCCCCCCCTTTCGCGCTGAAGGGAGACTTCGACGCCAAACTCTCGCATGGCACCATGTGGTACGAGGTGCCCTGCACAAGGCTCGACGGCCGCAAGCTGCCAATCAATCGACCGGCTTGCGAGTGAGGGTGACTCAAAACTGTGCGTCAGCCGGGTAGACAAAACCACCCCCGTCTTCCAATGGGCGTTCTCAACCGCAGGCTGAGACGGGCGGTCCGGCGTTGCTTCACATATGCCCCTCGCGTAAGGCGAGGCGTTATTCAGCACGTCAAGGGGTGAGAGCGCGAGATTTGATGGACGGCAGAGCTGCCTGGCTGGACTCCGAGGGCGTACTGTATGTGTACCGCAGACGTCAACTCACGTAGTTCTAATTCGGGCCCGGGGGTGGGCTTGGCGGCACGCGCGGATGTGCGGCTGTCAGCCCGGCTCTCTGAGCGCCCGCCTTCGCCTGTGGCGCCTTCTGGAATTTCCGCGGATCGGCCAAGCAGGCGCTGTCCACCTTGAAAAAGGGACGCCGCGACTTGCGAGGCGTCTTGGTGGTCAAGCATTCGGCCATCGAGCGGAGAGGTGAGGGATGAATGTACCGTGGGAGGATCTGTGCGTGGTGCCGCAGGCGGGATGGGGGGACGAGCGGCGGTCCGGAAACGCGATGTGCCGGCTCTTCGGCCAAAGGGAATGCGCTGACCGCTACTAACAAGTCGATGATCGTCGCCACGCATCCATGAGTTTGTACCGTTTCGGATCGCCGTTTCGCGGCCCACGAGCGCCGCTTCGTGGGCGGGCGTGGCGTTCACCCAGTCAACGCCTCGCGTTGGCTTCTGGCGCGGGATGCACGCTTGCGCATTGACCATCCCCCTCGGGCGTTGACCGCCGGTGGATGAGCGCCGGACGTCCGACCCGTGGGCCCGGTGCCCATGACATTGATGGAAAAACGCCACTCCTGCGACAATTTCCCTTGCTCCGAAGAGAGCAATAGCGCATCTTGGCTGCGCGAAATGCGTGTGTGTGGGGGGGTGGGTGGGGGGGTGGGGGGTGGGGGGCTCCAAGGCGACATGCAACCCTCAACGCCGCACGCGCCCAACGTGTGACGCTCAGCAGCCGCCTGCGCCCCGCGCCGCCGTCGCCCCCGCCCGCGCCAGCTCCGCCGCCTGCTGTGCCAGTTTCAGCCCGGAAGCTGCCGGTCGTGAAGTCGCCAGTCCCGTTACGTAGTGCTATTGGATAGACATGCTGCAGCATGTTACGGTCGGTGCCGATGGGGACTCGGGGTAGAGCGCGAATAAAAGCGCGGAACTGATGGACTTCCGGGGTCACCTGGCCGTCACTACGGCTCCAGCCCATACATACCTCTCCCACCCGCACCCTCTCATTCCCCACCCCCACCTCGCACCCCCAATTCAGCACCAAAGAAAGAAACAGCGCCCCTCTTCTGTGCTGCAAAAAGCACAACCGCTCACCCTCCGTTACCTTTCGTTTTCCGAAGCCGGATGCTTGCATCCCCCGACCACACGAGAGGGGTGGCTCTTGGGGCAAGCCGCTGATTCGACATCTCCCGGAGGCGGTTCTCAATTATCTGGCTGTTCTTTCTACTTTGTTGCCAAATTTCTGTTCCTGACGGCGGGAGCCTTGTCATCAGGATTAATGGCTTAGATGCCCGAATGGAAGGCATGGATGCATGACGTGGCGTTTTGCCCGCGCTGGCCTGCATGCCAATTTGGGGTGCATGTCAACTGATCAGATGTTGAAAGGGCCAATGTTTGAATGGTCGAATCGTCAAACGCCCTTGCCCAGACGGTGTCCTTGAATCTCACCAGCGCCATTGATTCTTGTTGTTATTCGGACTGGCCGCTCCATTAATGTCAATACGTCCACCACTTTTGCCCTCCACGTTGCATCACATTGATGATGTACTCTAAATTGCGCATCACTGTATCAATAGCTATTTTGAAATCAGTAATCTACATCATAGGTAGACACACGCGCATGACGCACACTGTGCACAGCTCACTAATTTGCACTTTTTTAATATAAAAATTATTCATAACGTTGTGTAATACTAATATTTTGAAAGGACCCTTGGGCAGTGCGGCCGCCATGGACGACCTCGTGCAGTGCATCCTCAACGACGTCCGAGAAGCTTCCCAGTGGCTTCCTCGCGCCCGCTACAACCGCTCCACCCTCGGCTTCCTCCACCGCCAGCTTCGCGCGGTCGCCGCAGGCGTCGCCGCCTCCCGCCGCCGCCCCGTGGGTCAGCAAATCAACAAAAGCTGCTGCCAGTCCGTGGGTCAGCGACTTGGCGAAGCTTATAGCGTCATGGGTCAGGAAATCAACGGCAACAACTGCGCAATGGGTCAGGATGCCGGCGGCGAACATTCCGCGGGTCGGGAAATACATTACGGTGGCTCGACAGACGAGGAGTTTGAAGGAAGCGACCGACGACCCGCGGGTCAGGAGCTCGAAGGCGTTGACCGCCCTGTGGGTCAGAAAGTCAACATTAACCCCTGTCCCAGGAGTCGGGATATCGGCGGGCAATTTTCCATGAGCCAGGAAGTCAAGGGCGTTGACCGCCCCGTGGGTCAGCAGCTCGACGCCGTCGTTGATCGCTTCCTCGCCGTGCTGGCCGAGGAGGTGCGCCAGGCGCTGTTGCTGACATCCGGCCATGGGCGGGGCCCAGCTGTGGCGTCCTTCTACCGCGTGGACTTCGTTGCCGAGTCTGTGGAGAAGATCTGCGGCACTTGCATGTCGTGCCTGCGGGAGATCGGGGTGGATGGCGAGGTGGGCCGTTAAGTACTGCTGAAAGCTGTTGAGTACGTAAAGTACTGCAAATATTACCAAATGCAGATGAGTGCGTGAAGTGCTACGAACGTTACTGGAAACCGCTGAGTGCGGAATCTGTGGAGGAGATCTGTGGCACTTGCATGGCGTGCCTGCGGGAGATCGGGGCGGATGGCGAGGTGGGGGGCCGCGGGCTGCTAAGTACTGTTGAATGCCATCGAGGGCTTAAAGTACTAAGAGTATTACAAAGTACCGCTGAGAGTGTCGAGCACTGCGAATGTTACTAAATGCCGCTGGGTGCGGAATCTGCAGAGAAGATCTGCAGCACTTCAGTAGCGTGCCTGTGGGAGATCAGGGCCGACTAGGAGGTGGGCGCCCACGGCTGTTATACAAGACTTATAGTACTAATGGTATTTACTGCACCTGCAGCACACATAATAGATGTTACGCTTATTGTTAGTAGTAGTATGGACGTGGCGGCGTAGTACTCTTGTGACGCCATCCATTGAAACCATTGTAGCAGTTGCGCCTTCTGGCACTGGTGTAAGGGATGGGCTGATAGGTGCACCCCAAGGGCCCAGTACACTAAATGTAATAAGCACAACAAATGTGCAGGATATTACATTTCACTGTAATAAATATTTATGAGACAACAATCTGAGCAGTGAAGCCGAGCAGTCTTCAGCAACGACTCAGGCATGTTGGGCATCGCTAGTAATGTTGTGAATACATTGATGAAGGTTTTTGGCGCTGCAATGGATGCGTATCTGCGATATCTACAGCGCCTATGCGTCTCGGGTACTCTATCGATTGCCGTCTATGGGAACGATTTGGGCGACTTTGCCCTTGCCAGACCAATGCAAAACATCGTTTCATGACTGCTCCAAAGCTGGCATCTGTGCGCACATGTGAGATCCGTGCACATGCCTGGTAATATTTAGATTGCCGTGCACAAAACAAAGTCATGGCGGCAGCGCGACGCAGTGCGCCAATCAGCGGAGTGACCCCTTGCAATTTTTGTTCGACAGTGGCGCGTGGAGACGATCGTGGATCCTGGCTGCGTGGAGGACGACCGGCGCCATATGCACTGGTACCTGACCTGCATGCTGGACTGCACGCCCGCCAACGGCGGCGTGCACAACAGGGTCGGGCCAAACGACCTGCGGGCCAAGATACGCGAAAACCGCCACCGTCAATGGGCGCCCAGCTTCGAGATCGACGATGCAGACATTGACCAAGGGGGGGCGATTGGAGCGGGCATGACCTTCAGCGCCAGGTGGAGGGGGAGGCGTGTCGCCGTCAAGTGGTACCGCGTCTCGGACCTTGAGGCCCGCGCCGAGTTTCTGGCAGAGGCTGAGGCGCACGCGCTGATGTGCTGCCCCAACGTGGTGGCGTGCTGGGGCTTTGCGCGCTCGGGCGCCGCGCACGCCAAAGTGGTTGAGCTGGCTGACCGCAGCTTGGCCGAATTCTGTGGGACGTGCAGCAGCGACCAGGGCTGGAAGTTGGCTGTGAAGCTTGCGGCGGGGGCGGCTTGTGGGCTGCGGCAGCTGCACGACGCCGGGGTGGTGCACCGCGACGTGAAGCCGCGCAGCTTTTTGATGTTTGAGGGCGACGACGGCGCGGGCCCGAGGGAGCTGGCCGGTTTTGGCGGGCGCGTCGTGAAGGTCGCCGATTTTGGGCTGGCGTTGGCAAAGGCGGAGATGCATGGTGGCTGCGTGCGCAGCCCGTGGTACATGGCTCCCGAAGTCTACGCCAGCTTCGAGCACACCTTCGCCTCCGACGTGTTCAGCTTTGGGGTCGTTCTGTTCGAGCTGGTGGGGAACGGGCCGCCCTACGAAGGTGATTGGAACATTGAGGAATTGTTGCACCGAAAGAGGAGCGGCGTGGTGCCTTGCCGGGTGGACGCGGGAGAAATCCCGCCGGAGCTATGGACTTTGATGGCGCGGTGCATCCATCCCGATCCAGACGGACGGCCGAAGATGAGCGAGGTGGAGGAGCAGCTTCAGGCCGTGTGCGAACATGTGAGTTTGCGTTGACCGCATTTATCAAACGTGACAACGATCAAGAAATTTCGCATTTGACTTATCTAGACAGAGATAACTGGATAGTTGTGTATGCATAACTACTATAGTTATACATTTATCTCGTGTTATATGTACATAACTATGTGGCAGTGTGCAGTCTACTTTATCGCCCTCGTTTTGAGAATAGAACAGGTCTGGCAAGCAGGCGGGCGATCGAACAAAACATGAGTTTGGCATGAGCGGCATCGTGGATGCTGCGGTTTAATTGTGCTGATTCAAAGCATTAGGGAATGGAAGCAAACAGCGTATAGTAATAGACCCAATTCGAATACACAACCGGACAAATCAACTGACACATACACACAAACCAATGGTTAGGTAAGCAAACAACAAACGAGTAAATTAAGCAAGTGAGTGAAGAAAAGGATTGAAGAAGCAAAGCAACGTAAATTTTTTTGCCACGGGAAGTACTAGAGTGTTTCCATACTGTGCTTTGACCGCGGTGTCTAATCTGCCCGAGTAATGGTAAAATAAGTGCAAGCAAACAAATGCTGAACCAAAACACGCTGTTTATTGTTGCGTCGACAAATTCCTGGCGATATTTGCCGTCTGGAGATACCTTATATATCTGGAGATACACCTTAGATATCTGGAGATACCTTGCGTTCGAGCGCATTCTCCTCAAACTACTGTTGTTAAATTTCAATTACTTTAAATTTACATTTAAATTCTTGGTTCGTTATTGTCTTACCAGGGCGATTCAGGGCCATCTTCAGCAGCCAACTTGAGCGTCCCACAGGTGCGGCAGCTGCTTCTATGTTCATCGTCGTATTGTTGCGTTTCGTTCGTAAGCATGCATGTAACTCATATATGAGTTTAATTCTATTAAACTTTTTTAATTTAGTTAATTCTATATAGAATTAATTTTGAAATTTTTGCGCAAATCGCTTTGGGAGCGTGAGTCGAAAAACGCGGAGCAAACATCTGTAAGACTCCTGCAGATATCTGTTGTATCTGTAAAGTTTTTGATCAAATTCTCGATCAAGAAAGGCGGTTTCTAAAACAACGCCTCCCCGTTCGCAGCGGCTACAGTTAAGCACTTTCAATAACTAGGCCTGGTGGTTATGCTCAATCCACATGGGTTTGGATGCACCGCTTTGGAGATTATTTTACAAACAAACGCCACGTGCGTTCGTATGTCAAGCAATCTTTTATTTTCTATATATGTCATTATTTAAACGCATTTCCAAGACAGTTGCTGAAATGCAAGCCTCACTGCGCTACAGTGGCCCAAGCTGCACCGCAGGCCTGCAGATGCCCACACAATTATGCAGTCGTTCTTTTGTAAAATGCAATAAATGAAGTGTAATCCTGAATGCAATGAAGTGCATTTATGAAAACCAAAAAGACCGAAGCATAACTATGGAGTTATGTTTTTCGAATGCAATTAAATGTTGCTGTAAGTCTACGGCATATTACCTAATGTGATTGGCAGTGATGCTCACAAGTTTACAACGTTTATTGGTTGGTTTGGGGGTGTGTCGCATCGCACGGTTTTCATTAGTTTTGACCCTAGGCATTGTTTGTCTGCATGCAGGCGTCGCCAGAGACGGATACCTTAATAGCGGACCTTGAAGGGCACTGCCAGGATATTGCAGAAATGACCAGGAACGTGCGAGGAGATCCATTGTGCCACGTGGATGGCGTTGAGGCACTGTCCCGTGGACAACAAGAATTTGCATCGGATCGAGCCATACACGAACAGATACTCAAATTCGCGGAAAGCTGCCTGGCGCTCGCACTTTCTTTGAGCACCGCCAGAGGCTTCCCCGATTCAGCGGGAAGCCGTCGCGAATCTGCATGTGGTAGCTGCCCAAATTCCGCCGGAAGTCGTGGCAAATCTGCGCGTGGTAGCTGCTGCGAACGTGCCAGTGGGAGAAGCCACGAATCCACTGAGTACGGGAGCTGCTGCGGATCTCCCTGCGGCAGCTGCAGGGAAACTGCCGCCTACGGAAGCTGTTGCGAATCTACCATTGGAAGTTGCCGCGAATCTTCTGCATGCGGAGGCTGCCATGATTCGCTTTGTGGCAGCTGCCGCGAATCTGATGAGTTTGAGCTGTGGCGAATTGGGCCCTTCAATCGAGCTAAGGAGGCCATGCGCCTTGCTTCGTCCCTCCTGAGGGGTTACGTGAGCGGGACGACATTTTTCAGGGCGGATGTTGATGACGTCATCAGCGTGGTGGACGTGCTGAGAGCGGCGGAAATCGAAATGAGGGAGGCCAACAATGGTGCGCAGTACATTGGCCCTTGGCACTCACTTGCACCGCATCTGTGATGCTTCTGTGTAGATTCCATGGCGTTTCCCCACGGCTTCCTTATCGCAAGTACGCAGCGCTTGCAGTCAGGGCCCTTTTGTACTGCTTCCATGCCGCACCTGCACTGCGGTTTTTCCATATTTTGTGTCGTTTCTGTCCATTACATTTAATATGATTGATTATATTTGCAAATTTCGGTGCTTGCTCGTAAAATTGCGTTTGGATCTTCGTCATGTGCATCAAATTCTCGAAGATGGCACGTTTTCTGCGGCGATATTACTGAGATCGGACACTGGCTGATTCAAACTCATCATTTTTACTATATTTTATTCAGTGGCGGCGGCGTCTTTTACTTTTTTACGAGCCCGCTACGCTATTTGTTGATTTTCTTATCTGTTGCATTCTTATGACATAATTTACTTGCACCCATCTGCTCAGTGTGCAGCGCACACGCTTCCATTGGCGCGGATCGACCGCTGATGCAGGGCGATTGAATGCTCATTATCCATCCAATGTTGATTGAGGCAATTCCATCGAAGTTGTCTCAGATTATCTCAAAGTCATCTTCAAAGAAGAACAACCACAACCAAGTACCGTGATTCCGGTACCGGTGTTTTCCCCAAGAGTGCCGCCGTCAAGCATACTGAGGTGTTGCGGGGATTTCCCAAAAACTGTACTTATCGTATATGTATCGTATATCCTTATACAGTGATCCAATTCGTCAGTTGCTTGCGACTGTCGCATGAACATTGCCCGTTGCTGCTCATAGATCATTGATAAGCTGCCATTGAGCAGTCGCTGCTAACACGTTTTTTTAAATGAATGGCAGCAAAAGGAAAAAAGTTCAGCACTTTACAATTCTTGCTAACAAGTGGTGCAAATAACGCAGCTAGCTACGAGAACCACCTTTTCGAGAAAGAGTGGTGTTTCCAAAATATTACATCACATGTACAAGGGTGCCTGTTGCATTCAAAACTCACCTGGATGTTGATCCATCTGATCTGTCACTCCCAAAAATAACTCACCTGATCCCTTTGGTCTCCTTGATCCAGTTCTCCAAATGATGCGCGACCGGCAATCAGTACTGGCTACGAACTTGGATGCCTCCAGGCGACCGGCGCAGAAGCTTCTGGAAGCTGTCCAAAGGGGCTCGCCGTTGGACGGGACAAAGTGCAATGTACTGTCTCAGGTGGGACAAAGTTTTGGGGAATGATTTCCAGAAACTTTTGCCATATAGTTGGACATGAGCACTAGAAATATCAAGAAAATTCCAGTTTGTAATAGCGCAGTACAAATCGCGACAACTACAGAGTGATCGATTTGGCCTGCACTCAATGAGATCTGTGCTATAATTGCCTCAGTATTGGAGTTGCCTGTTCAGCGCCGCGGACCAATTCGTTCAGCTTGCTTGATGAATTACACATATTTTAATTGAATCAATGCAAATTTATTCTATTCTATATTGATTCCAGGATTCTGGTGTTCTAGACGACGAGCACCCCAGTTCCGAGGGTCAAATTAACTCAAAACCAGTACTTAAATACTTAATACTTAATACCAGTACTTAAAACTCAATACAGTGCTTTCTCTGACTGGAGCATACTGACGCGCGACAGATTCAGGCAGACGCTTTTTCTGTCATCGAGGGTCGGTTGGCGTTTTGGCGGGCATTGGAGACTGACCCGAGCGCCATCAGAATATTTGAGAACAGGCTACTGAGGAAGGCGGCGAAGGCAGCGGTGACTAACGGCTCGATGACTAATCGGTCCATGACAAACGATCCCGCGCTGCTCATTGGAGCTCGCGTGACATCCTTGGTGCCTGGCGACGCAGCCGCGTCATTTAGAGTAAGTTCAATGCTAGCGTGCTACCGCAGTAGTACTCTACAGTAGTATTCAACAGTAATATTCTGCAGTAGTATTCTACAGTAATATTCAACGCTAGAGTGCAGTAGTATTCACTACTAGAATGTCACTGCAGTAATGTGAGTGCTATGGTGTGAATACATGACATGACATGACGTGATCCTTGGCGTAACGTGTTGCCGTATTTAATGCTAAGAATAATGATATTAGTGGTGCCGATGGCATTGTCGACAATTGGGTTGACAATCCATTGAGTCCAAAATGCGATGTCATGCTTTGGAATGAAAAAATACATTGAGTTGTGCATAGTCGTTTTTGCTCTTACGTTTTCACGTGTGAAACTTTAAATTTGCAAAAGTTGCTATTCTTGCAGCTGCACTTACGTAATCTCATGACTCTTCGGGACGCCCAGGTAATATGATAAGTCGCAAACAATGATCAGTCCTCCACCTCCTCGAGCACCAGCAACCACTAGGAAAAAAAGCCAAACAACAGGTGCCCAAACGTGTACGAAGTTTACGGGTTTGTGTTATTTCCGTGCTTTTAGCTTGCATAACACTGATGAAATGCATACATACGTGTTCGCAAAAAGTGTTGTTTGGTCCCTTTTTCGCCAGTGAACACAGCGCCCACCTCGCCCTGGGCAGGTGTTCTTCCCACAAATGAATGCACGTTCCCAACGCCTTGCGTGGCCGCGCTTTCCAACAGCAGGCTTTCCCGAGGAGTTCATCCGACAGAGTACTACGAAGCACTAAACTTTGTGCCGAACGTTCCAGAAAGGGCGTTCAGGCAGTGGGTTAGGTAAAGCCCGCGGCTTTAGTGGTTTGCATGACTTTGCATTGAGTTGCGCCCCTTGCGCTGCGTCTCGAACGCCTACCTTGCCATGCGGAGTCAACACCACGTGCAACATCGCGCGTGTTGCATAGTATGTAAGGTAGGTAAGTAAGGTTACATAGTATGTAGTACATACGCTACATATAGCACGCGTTACTTATGTTGCGCGTCGCATTTTCACCCATTGTGGCTGTGTCCGTGCCTCAGGTCATTGTATCAAGCCTGCACTGCTTCACCGAGGGTGCGTTCCTCATCAGGATCTGCGACGAATTACGTAACGACGAGTTAATTGCGCCGTACTCTCCGGATCTGACATCACTATCCATCAGCATCACGGAGAATGTGACCCCATACGAGGCCTTCCCGGCGGGTCCGCCCTCTGGAGCAGGAGCGGTGAGTGGCAGCGGTGAAAACTGACACCAAAAATTTTCACTACGTTTTCACGTGTTGAGCTCAATTTGGCTCCGAGTCGATGTGTTCCAAACAGAAACGCGTGATTCCAGCAGTGCATTACTTCATTTGAACTGGCGGGATGCCTTGTGCTTGGCCATTATAAAATGGATGTTCAACTATGACGCGGTGCGCCTAACTATTACGTGGTGTGCGCGGGCACACACACCATTTTGATTCGACTGTGATAGTCAAAGGCTGTGCCCAATGGCTTGCGTCAGCCTTCAAAGCGCTCAGAATTATTGCTCGAACAAGGCCGTCAAAACACACAATTACAATGGTGCTTTATTTTTCATGGTCCTTATGTACACCGGGCAGTTTTTACGTTGCATTTACGTATCTTTACGCATTTTTACGCGCAAAAATGTGAAATTTATTTTTACGCGTAAAAAAATAAAAACTATTTTTAGGCGTGAAAACGTAAATACGATCAGTTTTTACGGCGCAAAAAACCAAGCCTGCATTTATACATACAATGTAGTACATTACTTACACTGGTTATGCACATTTATGCAAGCAGGCATACACAGGCTGCGGCTTTCATATTTATACACAGGCTCGATTTCTGCGTTTACGTTCACGGCTTCACGTGAACGCTTTTAAGTGCAAAAATATATATTTACAAACGTATAATTGCAACGTATATTTTTATAAACGTATATTTGCTATCGTTGCCACTATATTTGCGCATTTTTACTACTCGTTGAGGCACCAACGTTGATGATGAAGTTGGTTACAACGACAGGCCCTCCGCTCCTCAAACAACCGCAACACAACAACTTGGGAGGGGCAAAGACGCGGTCAAACCAAAGGCGGTTTTCGGCCCACTCCAGAGCATCTACCTGCAAATCCCCGGACTCCCTGAATCCGCATGTACTATCTTATTGTACACCGATTGAAAATTTACGTATTTTGCGCCTTTGTACCCGCAAAAACGTAAATACGATCAGTTTTTACGGCGCAAAGACCAAACCTGTTTATGCAAATTTGCTCATACACTTTGAACATATATTATAGTACGTCATTATTCGTGATGCCTTAATCAATTTCTTTTAATCTTACGTCGAGCGCTCACTGATGGACCTGGCAGGGGTGCCCCGACGACGAAGGTCCAAGTTGCGGCGACGCCAGGAATTCGACATTGGACAGGGTCAACGGAGAGTCAACGCTCGGCGCCGCAAGCGAGTTTTCAGCGTCTGACCAAGTCCACGAAAATTCATGCGAGCCTGGTGGCCAAGACCTGAGCCCAGAGGAGATCGAGCCCTGCCGAGAGATCTCCTTCGAGCTGCCCTTGATAGATCAAAGAGAAGACCGACGCAGGGTACCTTAATGGCGCCAAGCCATAATTAAAAAAAAAAAAAAAAAACAGCTAAAGAAGTTTAGATAAATTTGGAGAAAAATGTCCTTGTTTGCAATTAGAGAAAGGTGCTTGGAAGTGTATTGCTTCCTATATATTTTACGTTTGTTTTTTTGCCTCAATAGCTGGGTCATTACCAATGACGTTGATGGCTGAATGAGCAAAGTATTTGGCGTGAATTTTGTGAGCTGAGAGGGAATCGCAATAGAACTGCACCCGAGCACGAACACAACTTGTGATACAACTCGCAGCCTATTCGCGATTACGTTTTAATGAATTTCCTTTCTATTTATTCACTGACCCCAGTTCAGTTCATAAAATTTTCTATAACTGAAAGCTCGTTTGTACGGTCGCAGGCCTCTTCCGCTCACAGCAACGAGTCCTTCCTCGGCCCCTTCCCGCGGAGCGCGTCGCAGTGCAGCGCACCAGCGCCCGATCCCCCTGGATCCACATGGAGCCCTTCGTTGCGTGATCCGCACGGATCAACATGGAGTCCGTGCGACTCCCCGGATCCCCAAGCGCCCGCAGCCGTCTACGGGGGATGGATTTTGGCATGCGATGTCCCCGTGGATTCATGTGAATCTCCCCCATGCGCGTTGAATCGGGAGGAGCTGGTCAGGGCGGCGGAATTGACGGAAATTGCGCGGGACTTAAAGTACGAAGGGAAGTTACACGAGGCCCGGGAGGCCCTGCAGGAAGCGCTGGATATTTTAATTTCGGAACTTGGCGAGAATCACATGGAAGTTGCGGCGTGCCTGCACAGGCTGGCGGGCGTTTTTTCATCCCTGGGGGATTTTTCGGCTGCGGAAAAAAGCTACAGGCGCTCCCTGGTCGCCAAATTGAAGTGCTTGGAAGGGCACAGCCCGAGCATAGCCGATTCCCTGGGCGGCTTGGGCGTCGCTTTGCAGAAGCAGGGGAAGCTTCTGGAAGCGGAGGAGTGCCACCGACGGGCCTTGGAACACAGGCGAATGTGCCTCAGCCGCGATGACGTCAGCTTTGCCAAGACTTTCAACAATTTGGGAAAAGTGCTTTACGTCAAGGGCAGGCTGGCGGACGCCGAGTTCTGTTACGTTCGGGCGTTACGCATCCAGATCTGGAGTTACGGCGAGGGCCACCCCCGCGTGGCGGACTCCCTAAACAATTTGGCGGCGGTTTTCGAAAGAATGGGCAAGCTGGACGAGGCCGAGGAGGGCCACCTTAGGGCCCTAAAAATTAGGAGGGATGTTTTAGGTAGGAATCACCCTGAGGTGGCCTCCAGCCTGAAGAGTCTGGCGTCGGTTCAGGGGAGGCAGGGGCGGTTGGCTGACGCCCAGGCGTCGCTCGAAGCGGCGGCTGACATTCTGGAAGCGTCGTTTGGGGGGCGGCACCCGACGGTTGAGCAGACCCGCAGAGCGCTCAGGGAAGTGAGGTCGAGAAGGAGGAACCCCTTGGCGCGCATCTGGGCGAGGGTGGGGAGAGGAGATCCTAAGGGAACAGGGGGGTGGTCGCGGAGGCCTTCTGGCAGGCGCTCGTCGCTGGCGTGACGGGTTCTGCTTGGGCAGCAGTGCGCGGCATTTTGGATTTTTCGATCATCAAGAAATCTTTCCGTGTGAGGGCGAGCTGGCAGCCAGTGCATCCATTTTTGGGAAATGCGAGTTGGGCTCACTGCCGTTGTGGACTTCAATTCAACCCACAAGTTTGTTAGTGGACAGTCGCGAACGCAATCCGAACTGTGTCGCTGGGGCGCAGCGGCGAACGTCAGCAAGAATACGCACACGTCAGCATACACATCAGCAAGAAATCTTGCGCACCAAGCCGGGCAGGAAGTGATTTGCTCCCCCTTTGCGAACGCAGTTCATGATCCGTTCACTAAATGTCAAACATGTCAAACATAATGTCAAACATAACGTCAAACATAATGTCAAACATAGACAAAGTCTGTGAATCTATTACCTCCAGATGCCAAGAAGCGATTGTCGATGATGGTTTGTCAGAACGAGTGTCCTCGCAAGTGTTACCGCTGTCGTGGATTCTTTGGTGGGTGTTCCCATAACGCATAACGCACTCCGAATTGGTAGCCGTGGCGCAGTGGCGCGCGTCAGCTGATGTGACCTCCGGTGGTGTGCCGTGGCCGCACCGTGGCAAGTGGGCCCGGGTTCAGCGCAGATGGAGGGCGTTACTCCTCGCCCAGGCCAATCGAGCGACCCCACATCGAGCGCGCCCTGCCCCGCCCTCCCCCCCTCCGCGGCGACGTGGGTCAACGCGGGAGCTTCCTGACCCACGAAGCGTTGGCCGACCGCGTTGGCCGAACGCGCCGACCAGACGCGGCCGGGCCCGCACGCCCCGACCACGACGCCGAGGATCGAGGACGCGAACGGCGGGCGGGCGCGGGGAGGGTTGACCTCTCGACCGATCAACGGCGGTCAACGGTGGTCGAGGAACGGACGTTGGGAGCGGGGGGAGCTGGGAGGGCGGAGGCGGCGGCCGGCCACCCACAGCGGTGCGCGAATTTTTCAGCTTTTTGGATGGCGCCTGCCCCTCATTTTTTGGGCGCGCCCGGCGTACCCCCCCTGGCGCAAACGTTCATTTCGGACGGGTGTCTTGCGGCCGCGCCATGTCGCAGCGAGTGGGAAGGACCATCGGGAACGGGGGGCCCATCCCTCACTCGCCCCTGTCCTCTTGTTCTGCTTTGCTTGCCGCGGTTGCCGTGTCCCGCGGAGCCCCGCCGTGGCTGGCATTTTTGGAACGTCTCCTAAAGCCCGGCGGCAGGGCAAGTGAGCGCACCCATGGACTTTCCCATGCCCTTCACTTTTGCCTCTTTGCATGCTTTCTTCAACCATTCACTTTCCCCTCAAGTTTCCCTACCGGGCCACGACAGATTACACCCACCGACCTCCAAGGTTGGGAATCCATTGCCATGTCCTCGCCGCCGCGCCGCGCACAGCCGAGGGGCCACAAAGCGGACCGAGGCTAAGACTGCGCCCTTTCTTCCGCTTGCCATTTTGCCCAGCTCTGCCTCCACCTCAGCCACCCGCCGTTCAAAGATTAAAAAAGGCGACGCCGCGGCGCAGGGCCCCCGCCACTCCCCGCCCCCTCTCTTTCCCCCTCCTCCCTTCTGGAGCGTTCCACAACTTCCTTTTTCTCTTCTTGTTTTATGTTTTTTTTCTTTTCTCTGTTTATTGTTTTTCATGTTTTCTCATCACCGTCCCCTTTTTCCGACACGGCACTCCCAAGGGATGCCTGTCCGCCCGTGGGACCGGCGCGGCCCCTTTTGAGGCCTCTCGCACCGTTGACCCGGTCAACGTGTGGTCAACGCTGGGGGTTTGGCACGTGCATGAGTCGACGGGACCGGCCTCCGGGCACGCCAGCCCGCCCCTCGGCCATCCCGTTCTCATCCCGCTGTCGATTTTTTCGGGGCTCCGTCTTGACCTGGTCAAAGCGGTCAAACGCCCCCGCGGGTCAGGCCCACCTGCACCTCGAGCTACTGCACCAGGGTTCACCCCGCGCTGACCGCCTCGTTGACCAGCCCGTTGACTTTCTGTGCGCCATTAGCTCCCCTCGAGTTTGGCTCGGGCCAACGCCACGTTCTCCGGAATCTTCCGAGGCCCCCAGGCGTTGCCGAAAGGCCCCGCGGCAATTTCGCCACGCCGGCCGCGGTTGGCCGACCCTTGACCGACCCTTGACCCTTCGTTGACCGCCGGCGGCCGGCGGGGCAGGGGGGCGCCCGCGCCGGAGCCGCTCGACACGTCCCATCAGGTCACCCCCGGTCTGTGGCCGGCAGTGGCCTTTGCGGATGGTGTACAGGTTGCAAAGTGTTGCGTGGTTGTTGATGCGGTTGAATATTTGCCTTGATTGCGTTTTGTGTCCAAAAGCGAAAACGGCGCCAACACTTGCGCAGGTTGGGCCGTTCTTGCCGAGTGACTAATTTGTACAAATGCGCCGAAAGCGCGAGTGTTGTGCTGTGTCACAGCCACGGCACCTGTTTGACTTGGGTTGACCAAAAAGTGCAAAGTGCCGTGGACTAAGGCCCCCCTGGAACGCGCAGGGGGTGCGCCTTTGTTACGTCATCGGATGCTAATTAGCGTCAGCTTGAGGTCACGTGATGTCACAGGTCACCTCTAAGAGGGGCCGGCCTGTGACGGTGAGATGTTGATTAATCGCATTGAAATGGACACGAGCTGCAGTAAGTGGCACAATAGGCACGAAGGAGTGCTGTAAAGTACTGAGCCTTACATCAGTTTCCCTTACATTAGTCCAGAAATTAATTTTAGATTTTGGAGATACCAAATTAGTCCAAAAATAAGTTGGGCTTCCGATGTATCTCAGTTTGGCAGCGTCTGGGGCTGTTCCCATAGCTCGCCTCATTGCTGTGTTTGTAAATATGCCGTGGTGAATTAAAGTACTGAGCATTGTAGACTGCTGCAAAGTACTGAGCCATGCATTTTTGTGTAAATTTATTTCAGAGCCAAACAACAACCCCCAAAGGTTCTCAACTGACAGCCCTCATGCTGTTCCCGTACATTACGTGCATTTCCGTACATTATGTACTCTACGCGCATTACCATACGGTACATTGCTATGTTTGTACGCACAGCGGCCATTTTTACAATAAAGCGCAGCATTCTGCATGGAAGCTGCAGTGTTGACATTTGATGCGTGGACAACCCGACAGGCCATGTACATCAAACCCTGGTTGGGGTTGGGCCTCAGGAAACGGCGGAAAAGATGGGTTCCGACCGACTTCCTGGTCCTGGTGGTGCTGCTGAGTTACGTCATCAGATCGGATGCACAAGGTGGGGTGGCGTAACGTGCTGCAGGGTCTTGCTGGTGTGGCAGGGTACTGCAACCTACTGCTTGTGCGCTCCAATGCAGGCCAATGTACTGCAACGGTCCACTTTTTTGCATGCTTTAGATGCTTTTATGCTTCTATTCCGTCGACGTTTTGAAATAAACTGCTTTCTTTGGGTGCTATGCAAAGTTTGCATTGAGTGTGTTACGCGAAGATTTGTTCGCTGTGCCCAGCACCACACGACGACTTTTAAAGTCAATTATTGTTACGTTTTTGGTAAGCGGTTGCAAGTACATTAGCCCTAGCATACAGCTTTTAGTTTCAGCTGCAAATGGTCAGTTTTTATCATATCATTGATTTATTCCGACACACACGAGCGCATTGGATCATGAGGGCAATTCTAAGACAGTTATGGTGCACACGTCGCCATCTGACTTGATGAGGCATTACGTAGTGTTAATGTGCAGACTGAAATGCCGATAACAATTAACTGGAATTTCCAACACTGTAAAGGGGCAGCATTTGTCCTTGGTACTTGGCGAAGCTCGCAGTGCTTGGTCAGCAAAGTACTGTGGCACCAGGCCCAAATTCCAATTTTGCAACAATTCAGTCTTTGAATTTCAAATTCACGTGTTTCTGGCAGATCTCACTCAGGCCAGCTCATCCGACGTCTTGGACTGTTCCAGTCTTTTCGACGATGACGTCATTGACGTTTCCGACGACGTCATGGAAGTCGTGGCCAGCGACCTGCAGCTTCTGGTCGACTGCCTGCCCGGCGGCGGCACGCTGGCCCTGGGAGTCGCCGAGGTCACGCCGACGCGGCCGTTGACCATTACGAAACCGTTGACTATTACTAATGGCGGTCAAACGGTCAACGTCACGTGCCCGTCAGGAGGTTTTCTGGACATAAGGTCACCGCATGTGGATACTGTAGCCACTGATACGGTATCGTGTTTGTTCGTATCATGTTTGACGTTGACAATTACTAACCAGTGGCCGTTACTAATGTCGGTTACTACGGATCTCGGTGGAAAATCATTTGAACTTTAACTGACGTGATCGCATCTTCAACCTTCACTTCTCTTCAGCATGTGCAATGCACGTTGAGTATTGGGCGGTACGGCATTATTTATATAATTATAGTACAATGAGCGAAGCCATAACATGCAGGATAGTACAATGCGGACGTAATCATGGGCGAAAAAGCAGTAGTCGATAAATAAATAAATGAATAACAAATAAAATATAAGTAAATAAGTAAATAAATAAGGATCACGGCATTTGTCACACAACAACACTCTGCAGCACATTGCCCTTTGCGAATGCTGCAAGTGCAGTTCGCTTCAGTACTTTACGCACTGGTGCAGGTCTGGTGACGTCACCGTGTCCGGGTTCCACATTCGCAACTGCACCGGCACCGCCATCCGCGCCTCGGACTGCCCCACAAACGGCCCCATCGCTTTGACTTCGTTGACTTTGGTCAACAATCGCGGGTCAGTCAACGGCGGTGGTCAAAGGTCAACTGGAGGTGGGTCTCACACAGTAGTCGTCACAGTCTTCGCAGTTCGTTTTTCGGCTTAAATGCAAAAGAAATTAATAAATAGGCGATAAATAGGTAAAAAAGAAAGTAAATCCACAGGCAAATATTTCCTCTTTGCTCGCACGTTCTGCGCATACGTTGGTGTAGTACTGCGGTAGGTCACGGGGATTAAACCGCCCAGTCTTGGCAGTTCTTTCGTGATTTAAAAGACGGCGATGATAGATTCGATGCGTGAATAGATAACTAATCTCAAATACAAATGCAAATGGAAATAAGTCAGTATGCAACAGAATAACAACTCAGTAAATTTAAACTATCTACAAAAGTGAGCGAACGAGCAGATAAATAGATTGGTGATTATTTCCTCTTTTCTCTAGCATTCACTGTTTCTGCGCTTGTGTTGTGCTGCTGAAAGTCGCGAAACGTCGTGATGATCACCCTTCATCTGAAGTCCAAACTGTATGGTGCCTCAACAGTGATGCACATTATACAGTCGTGCATTGACGTAATCAATTCAATAAGCAAGGAAATAATGTGACGAATTAATCAAAGCGTGATGGCGAAAACCAACAGTGAAGTTTGCAAAATGAAAGCAATGCCACTAGGGAAAAAAGGGCCAAATAACACGTGTTCAAACGTGTACAAAGTTTACGGGTTTGTGTTATTTTTGTGTTCTTAGCGTGTAAAACTGTGGTGAAATGTGTTTTGTGTGTGTTTGCAAAAAGTGTTATTTGGCCCTTTTTTTCCTAGTGTGCGCAATGACGGAAAGCGACAGAGAATTAAAAAATAGTCGTAAATGATAAAACTAAGAATGAATGATAATGATAAAATAAAAATGAATGATAAGATATTATCATTATGCTATAATAAAAAATGGATGGTGATGCTGATGGGGTCGATGATGATGATTATGCTGATGACAGAAAATTTGCTGCTAAAAGCGTGTTTTGCAATTTGCCCCAGCCTCCGCTAACGATACCAGCGGCGTCATCTCCGTGAGCGGCCCCTGTACCATTGACCTGGTCAACGCCAACATATCAGCCAACGCCCACAGAGCGCTGACCCTCGGGTCGGGGGCAGCGGCTACAATTTCCAGCTGCAGTTTTTTGGCCAACGAGGAGAGGGACACCGGCGGAGCCGTCTTGGCGGAGGGGGGAGCGAGCTTGACCGTGCGGAACTGCACCTTCGCGGACAATTCAGCGGCAAGGGGAGGGGCCATTCATCTGAAAGTGAGTGTTCTTTTATCTCGAGTGTGTGCTGTCGTGCGCGCTGCTTTGGTCTCATTTTAAACTTGTTAATCTCATTCGCCTCAATTTTGATCTCATTTTGTATTTTGAGCCTCTTCTTGGAACGCTTTTTAAGCCTCAAATATATGCGCATTCGGTCGCCTTTGGTGCTTGTACATGGGCGGCGGGGGAGAGGGGTGTGGTTTTATCTCGAGTGGGTATCATCGTTGCAAGCAGACCTGATTGAGCATCGTTAGCGGCTAGACGCATGAACAGGCAATTAGGCATCAGGAGCTGCAAAAAGGACATTGATGAACGGACAGGATGCAAGGGACGGAATTCACGTGTCCCTTCGCTCTACCGCAAACTGCTGCCGCGTGCTGGAGCCTGCGGTGCCCAGTCAGGGGCCGCCACCCTTCGAATGTGCCTGCCTTCATTGACGTCGCGGGCGCTTTCAAATCTCATTTTCTGATCCCGTTTTGAGTATGTTTTCTTCTCTTTCAGAACCTTCCTTCCTTCCTTCCTTAAACCTGTTTTTATGAACATTAGCTTGCGTGTATTTGGTTTTGATGCCTGTTTTGTGCGGATAGCTGGGCGGGCAGGAAAGGGGTGACTCGCGTACAGTGGTGTGCTCTGCTTAGCATGTGCGCTGTCCTGCGCGCTTTTTTCTCATTGTCGCGTTCGTTTTATTAAAACAAATTAAAAACTGAAACGTGGATTTAATAAATACATTCAGTATGATTTTGGGATGATTATGTGGCGGACGGAGCAGAGATTACCTGCAGGTGCTTGTGCTGCTATTTGTCATGCCGCATTTGCCATTTCCCATAATTTGATAGTCTTCAAACAGTAGCTCATCCACACTGTTTTTTTACTATTCATACTATCATGTCATATTGAATATGTGTATACTACAGCAACGTGTATTAAATTTTGTTGGATGAATTACACCGAACATTCAGAACATGTCATTTGTTGGATGAAACACTCCGTTCTTGTCTTCCCCGCGACGCAGGACGACGCCACTGCTACCATCGACAACTGCACACTCTCCGGCAATAACGTCAAGCTGGTCAACGCGTCGAGCCCCGACCGCCCCTCGTCACCGAATGGACCCGGCAGGGGAGCTGGTGAGAACGGGGCGTCACTGTGCCTCATTGAATTGATTTTACTGTTCTTGTCATCATCATCGTTCTTTTACGTAGTGTTCCATAATCCAGTGTTTAGCTTGTGACATGCATCTCATCCTGATCGTGCATTTTACATAAGTTCGCAATGTTTGTAATGCTCTCGTCATCGCCGTTCACTGCTGCACGGTTTCACATGCTTTGATGTTTGGATTGTGATGCTCTTAGCTGCTGAGCGTTGGTGCGTCACTGCTGAAGTCATCGCACGTAATCGTGGCGCTGCGAAACGTCCAGATATTCTTTTGGGAAAAGCAGAAATATGGGGCTCAGTACTTTGCAGCACTTGCCTGCGCCACTTTGTTCATCATCTGCATATATTCAAATAACATCGTGACATAATTGAAAGATGTATTTCGCATGTGTGGCACATTCCGAACACAGGTCATTTATGATATATCACCAGCGTAGGTTTTAATTACGAAAAATTTTCGTAATATTTCGTAATTTTTTATATAGCAAGGCAAGGAGGTAGATACGAGATTCCCATTTTGTCCAAGCAGTGGGGTGTCCACGATTCGTTCATATAAAGCTAGCGTGAAGCGCAAAGAAAATACTGCAAAGAGGTACAAAATCCAGGGTGATTCAGGTCTACCATTTAGAGCAATATCTATATTTTTTGGTGGTTGTTTGTAGTTTTGGCTATTATTGTAGCCGTGCAGTTTTGCTAAATTTTCAGACAGCAGGCTGCTGGCGGTGGGAGCTGCCATTAAAACGCACCATTGGTGTCCGCAATTCTGCAAGACGAAAAGAGAAAAATGGCTGAACATGTCGCAGAATTGCTTGGTGTTATCAAGTGCCCTATCCGACAGCATGCTTATGCAGCAGTTGATCAACCATCTGATGTCAACCTTGCTTTACACGATACACGACCAGTTAGTCACTGCCTTGTCATGCCCGGCGACGAACTGCTGTATTGATTTCAGCCCCTTTCTGATATGGCTTTCACCAGGGGCGGGCGGCGGGCCCCAAGGCCCGGCGCCTGCCTCCACACCTGGAGGCGGGGGCGGAGGTGGCGGCGGCGGTGGCAGCGGCGGTGGAAGTCAACAGCTGGACAACGCACCAAGTGGTGGCGGTGGTGGTGGCGGCCGTGGCGGTGGTGGGAGTGGAGGTCAACAACAAAATTCGAATGTCACTTCCAACTTGCTGAGCTTCAGCAACACTGGTGGCGCCATCCTCGCCAACGTGCGTCATCCCGTTCACGTGGTCTTGCTCCGTTGTTATTGACTGGATCAACTTCGTGCTGAACAAGTTGAGCTTGAAGTTGACAGCAACGCCTTGATGGCATTTGAAATGGTGCTGACAAAGCAAACAGCGATGTCATTTGTTGGCGTTCGTTTTGCTTTTTTTGTTCACGTTTTCTTTGAAAGAACTAGCGACACATGCCCTTTTTGGCACGTGCATTACGACATAATACAGTTTCAGTAAGAGATGGTGCAAGCAAATACTGGAGGAAGTACTTATTCGTGGGTGGCACATTTTCCCAAAAGAGGGACGTGTGTGATCTATGTAGTGTCATTGACGTGCCAGCGCCTGCCAAGTTTTGGACCCCCGAAGGTGTTCACTGTGGTCAATACCATGACGCGCTCAGTCCGCACTTGGTTGCTGCCAAGCGCGGGAAACAAGACTGCAACCAGATTATTTACAGGATGAGCGTACCAGTTCAGTAATTGTACATGCAAACATATTCATTCCATTTCCCCTTCCCACTTCTCCGTGTACATGTCACCATGGCACCATCGCCATATTCACCGTACCACACTTCATTTTAAATTTCCATACATCACACTTATCAATTGTTCTTTCGCCCTCACAGTCAACATTGCAGACAAGCACTGCTATTGTCACCTTCACTGCACTGTCATCGTTTCTTCTGTTGTATGTACTATCGTTCGTTTGTCATTATCATTATTTTCTGTGTTCTTCTATATTTATATTTTTCTATATTTTATATTTTATATATTTTATAACACTAGTATATATGTTAAACATTTGTAACTTAGGTCTTTCTGGTGTGCGCAGGGCGGCGTCCAATTGAATGTGACCAGCTGTGTGTTCTTGAGGAATGACGGGGACTCTGCGGGTGGAGCTATCGCAGCTTCGGTGAGTGAAATATAATGTACTGGGCGAATACTTGCGCTGTGCCAATGTACCTACCATCCACCGCATTAGCAATAAATACCATCTTTTCAAGGGGCAGGCAGGATGAACAAACATGGGTGTAGAGCTGACGTCGATACGAACGTCATCCAAATTGTGTGTTACTAATTTGCGATAAGTACACATGTACTAAATTAAGTGCACATGTGCTATGTAGCAAATGGACGGGGTTTCGATGATGGGCAATACACGTTGCTGTTGCACTGACCCGCGTTTGGTCGCCTGCTGACCCATTGCTTCGGAAGTGGGTGCAGTTACCAATGAGTTTGAATTCACTGACCCATTGCTTTAAATTGAAATTAAGTAGCCCATTGCATTTGAATTAAATGCACTGAAATGCGGTTTCTGGCATTTCAATCCGCAGGTTCCAATTCCATATCCACGATTTTGAATGCACTGACCCACGATTTTGAATGCACTGACCCCCAGGAGCGCGTGGTGATGAACATTGGAAACTCCGTTTTCAGAAGAAACACTGCCTTCGGCGATGGCGGCGCCATTTTTGGTGTGGTGAGTCAATAGACGAATATACACAGTACACAGTTATCATAATGCATTTGAGATGTACGCTTATTGAATATGTGTATATAGTATGAAGGTATATGTGTAGTTTTACCAAATGTACCACCTTATGCAATGATGGTTATTAAACTAATAGCGGGTGATTTGATTGTCCTAAAATTGACTGCCGCTTTTCCACAGTTGTTCTTTATGTGGGAGCAACGATGCATGGTCGAAGTTCCCTATTCATGCAAGGGAATTTGCGATGAATGTTAGAACTAATTAGTTTTTGCTGCAAACAGCACTGTGCTGTTGCTGCAGTGCAACGTCGTTGCAAATAGTAGTTGATGCTGAATCCCTGAAACGATGCTAGTGGAACACGACGCTTCAATTGTTCCCGGCTTGTCGCAACAGTGGATGATGTCTTGAAGTGGACACGGCGGATAACGTGTTTGCGAAGATGAACAGTGCATTATAGCATTTGAACACATTTGGGATAATATCACAGTTGAATTTATTCCTGTTTTTTACATGTTGCTATTGTGACCGGTGCAGGTGGAAGTTGCCATGAATGTGTCGAATTCGAGTTTCGAGAGGAACACCGCCACGGGCGAAGGCGGACAGGGAAAGGGGGGAGCGATGTTTCTGTGGGTCAGTAGAGCGCTTCACTCCCGCGTTAATGTGCAATGGTATCAAACACATCGTTGCGTTCATGCACCGTTTCGGGGTACGGTTTCTGCGTCATTGGAGTGACGTCACGCATTTCTGTCACACTTTCTGACACCCTCGTTGCTTGTGTGTCAAACTTTGGCGTCGCACTTGGATGAGCAAAAATAGAGAAGGGTGGCGTTTGCGTGGGGAACCGTGGTGTGTGGCTGGCCTTCGCCACCCTTGCCCACTTTGGCGTCACACATTTTGGCCGTGGTCACACGCGTGATCACATGTCGTACTGTTCAATCGGACGTGAGCGTTTGCGCATGTGTATGCGGTATATGGTATGTACGGTATACGGTCGCTTGCGTCACTTGTCTGACGCTGTGTGGGCCAGTGACTCCTCCCACACCTGTGCCCCTGTGATGCACATCCATGCCATTAGTTTAGCTCAACCTTCATTAAGCTAGTTTTAGTTTAGGTTGGTTTATTTATGTCCTGATGCTGCAGAACAAGACGGACGTCTCCATCGCGGGCTCCTCGTTTTTGAACAACATGGCCAGGGAGTCGGGTGGCGCCATCCACGCACTGGTGAGCCAACCCATCCATGTTTTTACTTATTCAGTAAGATACATACTTTTTGCGAAATTTTATTGAAAGAATGAGTATATGAGTTGTATACAACTCTTTATACATGTTTTTTTGTTCATTTGTATGGTATTCAAAATGCAACTATGTGGTTGTTGGCTATTCAGTTTGCCAGTTCTGTTTTTGTTCCTCTTAGGGAAGACGCAATGCCAATTTTATTACGCTTAGCATCAAATTGAACCCGGGGGGGGGGGCTTGTGACGCTAAGAGATTACGTAATGGCAACAAAATCGACACGAGGAGGAAAGATACCAAAAAGCGCCGTGGATCAGCTGGAAACAACTCATAACTTGTTCCTAAACCACCTGCAAGTGTTCGATATTCATAAATGCATTAAAATGGATCAGTCTACAACAATTAAAGCTGCCCTCTTAGAATCCCATTTCTCAACCCACAGAAATCAACACAACTTGGGTTATTTCTTGTCCTCAAAGCCAACCAGAAGTTGCATATCACTGTCACATAATGTTGCTGGATCATCCTTGCATCGACATAAGAATTGTGGCTAAGGAGTGGGGGTGGGGGTGGGTAAGAGCAAAATCGACATAACCCCTTCCCTTAGTGCTCGTACTGTCGATACTTATCTTTTTCGCAGTTGCATCAGAGGTTCGCAGCTTATTTTACTTCTTATTCACTGATTTCTGAGTTTTTTATTTGTGTTTACTGTTACTCATTAGTGTGGTATTAAGACTACATCTGTTTAATTGTTAATCATCCCGTTTCCTCTTCTAGTTTTGGTTTCTCTTATTGCTCGTACAGCTGATAGTTATCTTCTGTTGCCAGTGCATCAGAGGTTTGCAGATCGTGAGGCCATGTCCCAAAATGCCTATAATGACCTAAATGCATCCACAATCAATTGTTGGTGGTGGCTTTACAGATGCTGCGGGCTCCAAAGACGCAGATTGTGCACCTTTTGGGCGCATCACACACATGCTGTGCTATAATAGCGTGGCGTTATCAGAAAATACGATAACAAGCAAAGTGCGACCTCCTTTTCCTGTTGCGCGCCAGAGGCCCGTGTTCGAGGGCCAGCTTTCCGAGCTGAGCGTCGCCGACAAGGACTTTGTCAGCAACATTGTGGTAGAACCCATTTCGCGCCAGAAATCTCCAATAAACGCACATAACCGCAGTACTGTAAACAGCGTGACATCCTCAGTACAACACTACACATGCAGAAATGTGGCCTCTTCCACGGCGCTCCAGAGGCCCACACTCCATGGCCAGTTCCCTTTGCTCACCACCGCGGTCATACACGCGGTGCTGTAATAGTGTGACATCCTCAGTACAGTAATGATGTGACATCCTCGGTACTGCAATACACGTGCCAGAGTGTGACCTCTTTCTGGTGCTGCAGAGACCCATATTCTCGGGACAGCTCTCTGAGCTTAACATCACGGCCACGGAATTTGTCGGCAACGTCGCGGGAGAGCCCCTCTCTCGCCAGAAAACTCCAAGCGGCGTCTTGCCGGTAAAATCTGGGTTTGGCGGCGCCATTTTCTTGGGCCTGGACGACCCGCGGGCCCCAAGGGCCGAGGGGGAGCTCAACAGCGTGATGACTAATGGCGTGACTTTCGCCAACAACAGCGCCGGGCAGGGTGGCGGCCTGGCATCCGTGAGGGCCGCGCTCCTCCTCATGGAGTCCGTCGAGTTCGTCGGAAATTGGGCTCTGGACGGGGGCGGCTGCCACGTGGAGCTCAACAGGAGATCCAGGTGACCCAAAATTGCGACCTAAACTCGCGGCGTTGAACTTGGTTTAGTGAGAATCAAGTGAGCTTGGGTGTGGCGACTAACCTCAATCGAGCCGGCGTGTCGCGACCTAATTTGATGCAGAGTCGACGGAATTCCTGGGATACCGTTAAGTATTCAACCCCTCCGCATATCAGCATAACGCTTGGGCTTTTTGCGGAGCAATACAAAATAATGCTCTGAGAAAATGCAAAGCAAAAAGCATAACGGCACTGCTTTCTAATGCACATGCGTTGAACATTTTGCGTCTTTAGCGGTGCTAGGCGTTGGGCAGGAGAGGCCGCCACGTGGAGCTGAACTGAAGATCCTGGCAACCCAAAATTGTGACCTTAACTTTAGGAATCGAATCTAGTGTATTGCGAATCGATGGGACGTGAACTAACATCGTGTCGGCGACATAACCTAAATTTTGGACTGATTTTCTGCAGAGCTGGTGGACTTTTTTTGGAAAGAACTTGTAGCAGGAAAGTGTCGGAACAACCAAGTATTGTAAAGCACTAAACCTCGCAGTTCGGTTCCCTGAGACAATGAGCTGACAAGCGCTGATAATTCTTGGAGATATGTTTGCATTCCTATTTACACCTTCAACATGCTGGGTGTAAGAGTGTAAGTGCAAAAATGTATAAAAATTTGTAAATGTACATGTAGATAATATTAGTATTTTAAGTATGAAAATGTGTGAGTGTTATATGCCGTTGCTTTGATGCCTGTATCATGCAGGTTTGTTGGTGAAGTGGCTGGAGGCGGCGGCGGCGGCGGCGATGGCGGTGGCAGAAGGGGAGGAGGCAACTCGAACGACCCCGGTGGCGCCGAAGAGGGCGATGGTAATCGGCTTGCAGTTGCACGCGCCCAAGGTAAACGATTGGCATGGTTGAGTGTGATCGATTTATAATATTATATAATATATATTTATATTTATATATGTGTATATATATAATATTTATAATATGTAGACGATCTGTGCGCAGGCGCCGACCTCACCTTTTGCTGCAGTGCAACCTTTTGTGGCGCTGTGCTCTTTGTTGCCAGATCCGCAAACACACTCAAATGGCCAGGGGGACATGGGTAATGGGATGCATGGATGAAGTGCAACGGACGATGGTTAATGTGAAACAATATATCCACAGCCACCGGCCGCGCCTTCCATGCCAATGCGGCCCTCCTCGGCGCCGGCCTCTTCGACTTCAAGTCCGCGGACACATTCAAACGATCAAAACGAAATTGCGATGTATTAGAAAACACCTATTTTGCACAGCGGATTTAGCACAAGCGATTATTTTTAATTTGGTTTGTTAATGGTAGGTCGAAGGGAAAGTCAATGCGCAAGCACAGACCTCACCTTTCGAGCCAACGCAGCCCTCAGCGGCGCTGGCCTCTTCGTCACCAAGTCCTTAGGCACATTCGAACAACGAAAACAAGCTTATCTTCTATCAACCAACATAAAAATAGATGAAATAATGTACCACAATTGATTGAAATAGACGAGCAATTGTTGCGCAGGCACCAACCTCAGCTTCCGCGCCAACGCGGCCCTCCGCGGCGCGGGCCTCTTCGTCTTCAAGTCCGTGGACACCGCCCCCGCCAACACGCGCGTCTCAAACGAGGACGGCGACACGACCCCCAAGCTGGGATTCGCGGGCATCAGCGACACGGATGACGTGGTTTTGACCCGCGTTGAATTTTTGGCCAACGTTGCGTTGACTTTCGGCGGCGGCGTGCACGGGGAGGGCACCCGGGTGAACTGCACGGGCTGCAAATTTGAAGGGAATGAGGCGGCGAGGGGCGGCGGGGGGGCGGTGGCGTTTTTTGGGAACTCCGTGCTGCAGGTGAGGCTGTCGTGCAAGCATGTGCATTGTGCTTGCATTCTTATCTATAATGTGGAAACTCAAATCCGTTATATATCGTCTATTATGGATTGCAATCTATTGTCTATTATCTATTATCTATTAACTACTGTGACTTATTATGATCTATAACCTGTTCTCCATTGTCTATTTTTTCTTTATCTATTGTTTAATTAGTTTACTTCAGCGTTCGTATTCGCATTTGCAATTTGAGTATTAAAAGCAGTAGAAATTTGCTTTTAGCTTCCCCCCTTCCACAGTAAATTTGCTGTGGGACGGAGGAAGTGTTTAGTCATTTGGTGGGCATGCACTCAGATTATGTAACGATTTGCACACGTTATCAACCGCCTTGAGGTGCAGCTCCTTGGGTGTACCACATCTGCTCGTCCACTGAGTACAGGGCGGCATGCAGCACGAAATGTTGCCTGTACAACTCCTTGGAGCCCAGGTCAAGGTGCCTGCAGGTCAGGTCGGCTTGGTACAAGGGGATGTCGTCCTTCCCAACAATCACGAAGTTCAGCATGGGCAGCAAAGAGTGCGACATGCCCAGCAGCGCCAAGGGCCCACAGTCCTGAGGAAAGGGTTTTGTGATAATGACGGTGATGATGATGATAAACTCCTTAATTACATGGTGCTCACTAAACCCAACTCCGCTCCCAGCAGCATAAACATGATGTCAACAGCCTGTGCCACTTTTCGGCAATGTAGTCAGAAGCAAAATAAAGAGATATCCATGCAGAGAGAGATTCATGTAGAGATGATGATGGTGATGAATCTACATGTTCATATTCCACGCTGTTTTCACGCCGTTGTGTTATGCTTTACCACCGGCAGGCTCGCCAGGTGCAGATGACGGACAACAGCGCCACCGATGGTGGGGCCGTGCACGCGGTCAACGCTCTCGTTGACCTCGTCGACTCGGTCGTCGAAAACAACACCGCCGAGGAGCTTGGCGGCGGCCTATTTGTGGACATCCCGGGAGATGCAGCGTTCCAATTCGGGATAGCCGGGCGCGCTGAAAACGTCACATTCGAGGGCAATCGGGCTCGCATAGGAGGTAAGTAATGAAGGCAACTAATTTTGGACTTTACACATCGTAACTGCCGCTGGAAATTGGATGCTTTAGGCCTTTAATTTCCTGTCGAATTTTGGCTCGGGAGGCACACAGCTGGAAATGTCAGCTTCGAGGACAGTGCGGCTCGCATGGGATGTATGTACTGGAGGCAAACTTAGGACATGTTTTTCGGATTCTTTGTTGAGCTGTAATCGCCGTGGGACATCAATTAGTTTCAAAGATATGGCTTAAGTAATTGAGAAGGCATATCTCTTGGGTTCAGAACCAGCAGTATTATATTATATATAAATACATTCTGTTATTTGTGCATTTCATCGTTCTGCACGTGTTTGACAACTGATCTCGAGCCAGTCTGTTCTAAGCACCTTAATCAAAATTTGCTGGCTAATGGGAGTGACGCCCACCTGCTTCTTTCTACCTTCCGTCAAGGAGGTAAAGTGTTTTTTGCAAAAAGGCAAAAACAGAAGTAGGCGGTAAAATAGGAGCAAACATAAAAGAGTAACCAGTAAAATGTGACAATAAAATCAAATAGTAAAAAATACGAGCAAAAGGCGAAATCAGCGAGGTCTGTGTCGCCACAGGGGGCATGTACTTTGCGCTCGCGGACCCGCCCTCACTGCTGCTGCCCGCCGGCGATCAAGTCAACTGCAGCGACCTGGATTCCTCCGACGCGTCAGTTTCTAGGTCCCTAGAAATCGGAGCCGCGTGCTTCGAGGACACCCAGGGGCGGGACTCCAATCGCACGTGGTTTCTGACGGGGGCGGCGTTCGTCAACAATGAGGCCAACGCCACGGGCGGCGCGGTTTTCGCGACAAAAGGTGGGCAAACTACTCTAACAACTACTGCCTCTCTACTAGTAGTGATTTTTGGTAGTAAATGTTAGTGATGACTACTGGTAGTTACGTTTAGTAGTCTTTTGGTATCTTTCGTATTTTTGACACGTAGGGTCAAGAGAAAGGCCCCAACCTTCAGCAACGTTACCAGTGATGGCGTTGCGACCCCCGGCGACGTAGCCCAAAGGGGTTGGGAAGGTGACTGGGTGTCTGCAGCGTCGGCGGGATTGTCGCCAAGGGGAGATCGTGAGGCCGTCGGCGGCTCTCAGTTCTCCCACCAATGCCACGGGCAACGGGGCGGCGACGTCGCCCTCCCCCGGCGATGGGGAATTCGCCCGAGATTGGGACTCTAGATGGTATCTACTACAACAGCTACTGCTTCTCTACTAGTAGTAACTACTGAAAGTAACCTACAGTAGTGGCTAATATAATAGCTTTCAGTGGCAACTACTGGTGGTAGCTTTTAGTGGTCTTTGGGGTATCTTTCGATGGGTTTTGATATTTAGTTTGTCGGTACATCAATGTGATATTGTAATGGTGCAATTGCATGATGGTTGAAGGACCTTGGAATGTCTTTTTGGCGGTTGCAGCGTTCATGGCAATGAGGTCAACGCCACGGGTGGTGCGGCTTTCGCGGCCAAAGGTGCAAGCGACTGCTTTAGCAACTGCTGCTTCTCTGCTATAAGTAGCTTTTGGTAGTATGCAGTATTTGCAATGCTTGCAGCAATTTACTGCGCTTTTTGAATTTGGTTGCTACATATTTCCAATATTTAATGCACGAAGAGCACGCCGCTGCTCATTGCGATTTCAGTAAGCCAACATTTGTGCACGGGGACATGAGTGTATTGATTGCCAAACACAGTAATGTGCGTTTTATTTCTCTTTTGTGCACAGCACGGAGATACGCTCTTTAGCATTTACTAACGCTGTGCCTCATTTCCTAACGATAGCTTGTACCTCCTAGGCGAATCTCATTGTGACAAACGGATGATGATTATATGGTATATATATTCTTACATCATATGAATATAATACATAGCTTCCATTGCGCAACGCAGAAGCGACACATTGCATGGCCACTCGCAGCTGTGCATTCTCCACACCGCCCCAAACACATAGAAGTCGCGTTTGCAAATTCTTTCTGCTGTCAATGCCGTTTAATTGACCTGAACTAAAATTTGAAACAGATGATATCTGACAGAATGCACCGGTTGTGCCAAACAGCAGTGCACATTGAGTGATATCCACCTGCACTTTGGCGCCATTCACGGCCTCAATTGCAGCAGTGGAAATGGTGTTGTCCATGCGACTTGCGGCAATTGTCCGCCATTGTTGTAACATAATAATGTTGTTATAACATCATAGCAAAATAATACAATCTTCAGTAACGTTACTGAAGATTTTTACAACAATTGACTGTGGTCAACGGCGGAAAGTATCACCCAAACTATTGGCAAATTTGTCATGCCAGCACAGCATTGGGACAAGTTCTTGGAGCGAGGAGTGAAAAGCCAGCGGACGTGGCGCGTCCAAATTGCGCAGGTTGCCACGCGATTGGCCACACCGAACGTGCTGGTGTTCTTGACATTTTCAAATAGTTTTTGAACATTTCTTGAACAATTTTTGGAATGCTGAATTCTTGCTTGCAAAATTCAACTTTGGGAACGCTTTTAAACGTGATTGGAATGTTGAACATTCACATCTTGTTTTGACGCAATTCTCATCCGTGCGTTTTTCCTCGCCCGCCCAGGCAGCTCCGTGCGCCTGTGCTGCGCCACAACCCCCGACTGCAGTCTCGATTTGGTCAACGTGCCCCGCGAGGACGCTGTGGGGAACCTGCTGTCCAGCGGCATGGCCACCTTCGGCCCGGCCACCGCCTTCCTGGTAGACTCCGGCGACCCCTGCCCGGACACCTGGAATGGCAACTCGGTGACTGATCAGTCCCGAACCGTTGCGACAGCTGCCAGCACCATCCAGGCGTGCCGGTTCGCGGATGGCCAAAAAGTCAACGTCACGTGCGTTGACGGGTCAACGACACCGTTGACTTTGGTCAACCAGACCAGCGGCGCCGTGGTGGACCCCTTCTGGCTGGTGCTTCTGGATGACTTCCAGAACCCTGCGCGCGGGGAGAACGGGACGCTCGCCAGCATCTCAATTTCGAATTTGAGCTCGATGGTGGATTTGGGCGGGCAGCTGATCGAGCAGGCCGCAGGGCTCATGAACTTCACCGACGTGCGCCTCACAGCGCCAACCGACGCCACTTACAACTTGAATTTGAATTTCGAACCGCCAGTACTTAAGCCGGTGTTGATATCGGTGCACGTGCGGGGCTGCGCTCCCGGGGAGGTGGCCCGCGACGGCGGCCTACGCTGCGAGCGCTGTCTGGAGGGGCTGTTCAGCTTCGGCGTTGACCGTTCAACGGATAGCGTTGACCAGTCGTGCAGAGTGTGCCCGGCGGGTGCGGCGTGCGTGGGGAGCACTGTGGCGCCAGCGGACGGGCGGTGGCAGGTGGGGTGTCGTCCAAGAAGTAGGTTTTTTTCCAAAAAATCTCCCCTTTTTCTGGAGTGTTCATCTATTTTTCTAAAACACGTCTGCTTTTCTAAAATTATCCTTGTTTTCCTTTTTGCGTTATGGAAATTAAGCACGCACATGTATATACATGCATGCACATGTACATACACGCATATCGACGCTTGCACACGCACGTGTGTCGAAACTTACGTGTGAGTATGTAGACATGTGTACATCTGTGTGCACGCATGCATTTCCTGATTCGTCGAGTCATTTCAGTTGAGGCCACATCCCTCCTTTCCCCTTTGTAGATATGTGTATACAGGCTTGGTTCTTGCGTTTGCATTTACGTTTGCGCGCTTACGTTTTACACGCAAAGACGCAAATTTGCGAAAGGGCAGTTTTTGCGGCTATTTTTACGTTTTTGCGGCTCGTTGGGACAGCCAGGTTACACGATCAAAGTTATGAACAATGGTCAGCCCTCCTCCATCTCCAGCACCCGCAACACACTGCCCACCTCGCCCTCGGCAAGGGCAACAAAGGCATGGAACAAAAGTTCGTTTTCCACCCATTCCAACGCATCTCGCTACCATTCCCCGGACTCCCCAAGTCTGTACGTACTGTACTTGTGTACACGGGGATGTATTTACGTATTTTTAGGAGATTTTACGCATAAGAACGTAAATATGTTCAGTTTTTGCAGCGTAAAAGCCAATCCTGTGTATATAGACAGTACATTTAGCGATTGATCGACATTGATTGCCAGGCGATTTCTATGTCTCACCATTTTGTGCAGTCACAAGCACTGCTCCCGTTCTATCGCCCTTTGGAAATATTGTATGTCAAGCCAAGAGGCGGCTAACATTGCCAATTTGAATTTCAATAATTTAGTGTATTTGAACATGATTGGATATAAGTTAAATGTGGTTGAATATAGTTGAGTGAAAATGAATTGAATGTGTGATTGAATGCAACTAATAGTTGGCCTTGCGCCCGTCCATAAGGAACATCACATGTCAAGCCAGGAGGTTTCCAGCATTCCTAAATGGAACTAGCAATATTGAATGCTTTTGCTCACAATTGTACATAATTGAAGCTGATTGCATGTAACCGAACGCCATTACCGATTTGAAAGAATGTTCAATAGGTATGTAATTGGCAATTACTAATATTGTCTACTGGACAATTGTTGCTTAATTGCCCATGCTCAGACTGCTTCCATGTTGGACCGGCTGCTGGTGTGCACTATCCGCAGCGCCTGCATTTATGAAATACAAAGGATAATACAAGGATATTGAATTAGAATAATTGAATGTGTTTGAACATAGCCGGACACAATAACATATAGTTGAGTATAACTTACTGCAAATGCAATTGAATATGTAACTGAATGTTATTAAGCGATTGTAACTAATAGTTCTATTTTCATTATTGTTATTTAACAATTTAATTCAACTTTAATTGGTATTTTATTTAATTCTATGTATATGCAAGGCCAAACACGTGCACGCGCTGCGCTCAAGGTGGTCTCTGATTAACCCGACGAGCGATAGCGTCGCATGGTCAGGCCTGTGAGTCAACGCAGGCGACTTTGTATTGTGTGCTGGTGCCAAATAAATGAGGGACCTGACCACTTTGAAGCCTTGTTTGTTGCCCTTTTAACTCCACGCACTGCGTGGAGCACAGTCAGCTCGATGTCACTTCCCACCCGCACTCACAAGATGTGCAGCAGGTCAGTGACCAGCAGCGTTCCCCGAGGTAGCACGCCTGGCTGGCGCATGGCAAAGGGGGGAGGGCTGCCTCCGGGCGCGCGAGTGTGGCGCCTCCCGGGCGCCCGCTCCCAGTGCCCACACCTGCCTGGATTGGCAGCGGGTGCCGGCGGCAGTGACCACCCGGGAGGCCACGCTCCTGGCACGCATGGGCCCCGTTGGTAGGCGCGACTGGGAGCCCGCGGGGCGTGAGAGGCGGCCCTGGATTAGCGCCTCGCAGGCGCCCAATCATGCCGGCCATGTAGCCTCGTATGCCTGCCGGCGCGAGCGCCCGTGTGGCCAGGGAGTAAGTCAGGCTACCACGCCGCCCAACAGAAAGGCACGCGAGAGGAGCGAGGTGCGGGAGGATGGGTGCCTTGTAGGCGCCCATTCGCGCCACCCGTGGTCGCCTGGGATGGGCCCCGCCGGTGGTGTGAGTGGGCGTCCACGAGGCGCGAGATGCCCCCACGATCGGCGCTTCGCTGGTGCCCAATGACGCCGCCTGCCTTGCCTTGAAATGGGCCCTGCCAGTGGCCCTATTGGGCTCCCGGGAGCCGCAAGGGCGCCGAGGGATTGCGCCTCGGCGGCGCCCCGTCCAGCCTCCTGCAATAGCCTGAAACGGCCTCCGCCGGTGGCGGGAACGGGTGCCCACGAGGCAGGAGAGGCGCCGCCTGATTCGCCCCTCGCTGGCGCCCATTCCCGCCACCCTTGCTGGCCTGAAACGGCCCCTGCCGCTGGCGCGAGTGGGCGCCAGGTGCCACCGGGTTGGCACGTCACAGGCGCCAATTCCCACCTCCCACAGCCGCCTGGAACCGCCTCTGAGGGTGGCGGGAATGGGAGCACGTGAGCCGTGAGAGGCGTGGTCTGATTCACGTCCTCAACAAACGCGGGTATGGCACTTCCCGGGCGGCCGCTGATGCCGCTCGCGGCCAGCTTGATTGGCGGCCGGATGGAGGCAACATGGCGCCCTGGCCAGGGCAGCCGCTGCCAAAAGGGTTCGGTCGCCGCAAGCACTCGCTCCTAGTTGCCAAACGGATGCGCGATCCGTGCCCTCGCTATTGCACACACGGGTGGCGGTGATGCCTCCGCTGATGTTGCCCGCTGATGCTGCGCGCAGCCTCCCCGTTTGGTAGCTGCGGGCACCAAGGGGCCGCTCTACGTCCCCCCCTTGCGGGTCTTGCGTGCTGCCTTGCCTTGCAACACTTGCCGTTGCTGGATATGTCCAAGGTTTGGTGAGTACTTGGGCTGGGTCGGGGCTGTGGGTTGGATTGAATGGCACAGCAGTGGCGCCCACAGACTAGGCGGGGCATGGACCCCACCCCTGCTCCCCTTGACGCTGTGTGGGCCGCGCTCTGCAGCACCACACCCCGCTCCGCTGTGGTTCCAGGAGGCCGGCGCCCTGGGCGCACGTCCCGTCGCGCCAACCCGTTGGGCGGGCATCGGCAAACGTGGGTGCCCATTCTCACTGCTGAGGCATGGCAGCTGTTTCCGTGTCGCGGTGCTGTCCCGCACCACTCTGTGCCGTGGTTTCAAAGGCCGGCTGGGCCTTGTTCCTTGGGCTCTCGGCCGTGCCTGCCGCTTTGGGTCCGTCCAGCCACTCTTTGTCATCAGTTGGCGCAAGCCCCATTGCGGGTCGCCTTGTTTGTGACTGTAAGTCGCCTGCCTCCCACCCTGACGCACGTCGCTGCGGATGCCGGCAAACCTCGCGGAGTGCCCAGAGCAGGAGACGGCAATCGCCCAAGGCGAAAGTTCGCCCTTTGCCCAAGAGGCCTGTGGCTGGCGGTGTCGCGGGGCATGGCGCAGTCTTCAATGGCTTAATTTGAATGCCAGTGTGGCAGTGAGCCTGTCGATGCCTCTGTGCTTTGGCTTGTGTATGGGAAGGAAAAAAGCCCGTACCTGCACCAAGACAAAGTACCGGTCAGCGTATGGGGCGGGTAAAGTAGGGGCCGAAGTGGGGCAGTAGGAGAAGGTGGAGAGAGCATCAAGAAGGGCTATGGAGGACTTCGCGCTAGCATGGCTAGTTGGTCAGAATTAGGACGGTGTTCGATTACAGTCCATTCTGCTCAAGTAAATGGCCACCACTGTAATCGAGAGAAAACCGTAGAGAAAGGAAAGGTCAATGTGCTCAGCAGAAATCACATTGAACCGCATGACATACGGTTACATTTAGCGGTCATGCAGCTGCTGAATGATCAAGGCAAACATATGCACGCTCAGCTTCTCTTCAGGGCACACGAATTGATGCATTTACAGCTGAGATGTCCTCCATCTCGCTGTTTTGCAATGCCGCTCATCAGAACCGTCCAGAATGAGCAAAAATGACGTCAATTGAAGAGCGCTCTACGGGCAGCATGGACGGCTGTGACTGGGCTGTGAACTGGTCAAGGAAAAGGGCGAAAACTAGTCAATTGGAGCCGCATGCTAACGGGATACAATACAGTTTGACGGTGATGGAATTTGGGTGTACAGAATTGGGTTTAGTATGCGATTATGGTAGATTTTCCAGTACTATTAGCCGGGGACAAAGAGGCATGGTGTGTGTAGGGCGTGTGGTGAGGGACCCTGAGTGAGAGGCTGGCCGGTTTGTAAGGGCCTTTTGAGTGACTTTCAGAGGGAAAAACGGCCAATTCCTGACCCCTTTTGAGGAGACCATGAACCGTAGGGGGTGTCCTTGGATGGACCTCAACTATTGCAAAAGGTCCTAGGACCTTGACGGGACAGGTACTGGCAGGGTATAGGGGTCCAGTGAGGCATGATGGGACGTTGGGTGCGGCTGCTAACAGTACTTTGTGGTTTTGCACCCGTACGGGAGACCACCCTTTTGACATTTCGTGTAATGTACCGTATGTCGGACGTGACCGCGCCCTCCTGCATCTGGTCCCTGCGGGTTGCGCCTGCGCCCCGCCTACGCCCGCTCTGCCCGGTCTGCTCGGTGCGCCGCAACACCCCAGCCTCCCCGACCGTGCAGGGACCGTCGGAAGCCCTCCCTCGCCATGGCTGGAGCATCCCCACGTTCCGCAGGCGGGTCGAACGTGCTCGCATTCGGTGTGGGCGGACCCTCCGGTTCCGCCATGCTCCATGGCGGAGCGGTGCTTTCTCTCCCTCCGGGGATATTTGTGGATCCGTGCATGCAGGGACGAAGGGGCCCGGGCGAGCCTTTGGTCAGCTCGGACGAAGCGGGCAAAGTGGTGCTCGCGTGCCGCAATGGGCTCGGTGGGGCGGAGGCATGGGCCATGGCCTCCGGCCCCAGAACGCCCCACTTGTGGCTCCAT